AGGGCCCACAAAGATCCTTTTAACTATGGAGAAAAAGCTTTTAACATAATACAAGCACTGAAGACCTTATCAGTATTTTACTGTGGTTTGTGGGAAGGGGAAGACAGACCAAAATGGGGAATCTCTGTAGTGAAACTAATCAATAAACATTTTTGGCCTACCTTATTTAATAACTTATTCTAGAGTTCAGAGTTCCCTAATAAGTTATTCATGACATTGAAGCACCTCAATACTATTTTTTTAAAATATATATTTTATTGATTTTTTTTACAGAGAGGAAGGAAGAGGGATAGAGAGTTAGAAACGATGAGAGAGAAACATCGATCAGCTGTCTCCTGCACACCCCCTACTAGGGATGTGCTGACAACCAAGGTACATGCCCTTGACAGGAATCGAACCTGGGACCTTTCAGTCAGCAGGCCGACGCTCTATCCAGTGAGCCAAACCAGTCAGGGATGCACCTCAATACTATTAACATTTAGGCTAGATAATTCTTTGTTGTGAGGGACTCTCTTATACACTGTAGATTACTTAGCAACAGCATTGGTCCCTACTACCAGATGCCAGTAATACACCCCCAATGTGACAACCAAAAATGTTCCCAGACATTGCCAAATGTCACCTGAGGTATGAGTGGGTGGGGATAAGAAATTATCCCAACTGAGAACTACTTCCATAGAATAACTTTAGGAAAACAGCAGATTCATTTAGATAATTAAAACATAAAATAAAAAACTTCTGCCTTGGCCGAGTAGCTCAGTTGGTTAGAGCTGTACATGCTGATACACCTAGGTTGGGGGTTCAATCTGGTCAGGGCACATACATGAGTCAGTCAATGAATGCATAAATAAGTAGAATAACAAATTGATGTTTCTCTCTCTCCCTCTCCCATCCCCTCTCTATCTAAAAATCAGAAAGTAGGAAATGTTGAAAAAACAACAAAACAAAAAACTTCTAACTGACCAAGTATAGAATATTATATTCAATAAATGTTTCTAAGTTCATATAGCAGCTAAGCTTCTGATAGTTGATTTCTTGTGATATTTACCATATTCTAATTTGCTACAATACAAAAACAAGGATTCTATCTAAAAGTGAATCGTGGCATAAAACATATTTTAGTAGTATAACCAAAACAATACTCACATGAGACATAGAATTTAAAAAAACCTTTTATTCAATCTTTTCTTTCTTTTTATGAGGCAGAAAAAATGGTTAACTACGAACAAGTAGAAGCCATGTTTTTCTCTTAATTTATACCATTCTATTCTGCGAGCTACTGTTCTACATTATGCTTCTCATTCTTATTCAGTGAGAAAAATGCCAAGTAATTTCAAAACAGATTCTAAGGTTAAGCTGTATTAACTTCTCAGAGACCTTCATTTCACTTATAGATGCCCATGCATACAAGCAGCCAATATACTTATTTGGCTAATACAGTATGGATAGAATTCTTAGAATTTATAAATATAATGTGCCCTCACTCTTTAAAGTTTTTAAGCAAATGAGTAATGTAATACTTAACTTACAATGATCACTCTGCTGTGTACAAAATAAATGTAAAGAAGTACAGAAATAAGAAAACAGTTTCAGACAAGAATTGATGCTAGCTTAGACTTTTATATTCATTCAGCACAGATAATTTAAGAACTTCTCAGGCTTGTTTCCAAGCCATCATTTGGTTTCATGAGACCTGTTGACTAACTACTAAAATTAAATAAGCTGGGGGGGGGGTGGTGGTAAAATATGTACACATATATCTTAATTTAAAAAAATGGGGAAAAAAAGATTGATCTTAAAAACAAACAAATACATAAAATAAGCTAGCTGTCTTCCATGATCATAAGGGTATCCTGAAGTCCCTCAATTTCAAATACAGATTGATTTTAACTTTTAAAAAATTATACTAGAGCAGAAACCAGTTTGGCTCAATGGATACAGCGTCGGCTTGGGGACTGAAAGGTACCGGGTTCGATTCCAGTCAAGGGCATGTACCTTGGTTACAGGAATATCCCCAGTAGTGGGTGTGCAAGAGGCAGCTGATGGATGATTCTCATCGATGTTTCTAACTCTCTATCCCTCTCTCTTCCTCTCTGTACAAAATCAATAAAATATATTTTTAAAAATTTTACTGGAAAAAATTTAAGATTCAAAGTGCTAGATGAAAAACACAAACAAAAAAGAAAAAAAAAGTGACAGAGAAAGCACACTACTAAAATAATAATCAAGGTATTTTTTTTCTAGCAGTAGGGATAAATGAGAGAGACTGTAAGAGGACCAAACATTTTACTTAGTTTCAGTGAAGCTCAAAAATTAATATAACACAGCAGAGAAAGTTTATGCCCTAGAATGTATAAAAGGATATCAGCAAACTATATAAACAGGAGAGAAACTGCTCAGATAACCAGAGAAAATCTGGATTTATAGTTCTAGACAGAAATGAAAACTAAGAGCTGAGAATGGAAGGATAGGAAAGGTTCATCTCATGAGAGAAATGAGCTCAGCTGGCATGGCTCAGTGGCCGAGCACTGACCTATGAACCATGGTGTTGCACTCAGTCCCGGACCAGGCACACGCCCAGGCTGGGCTGCGGGCTCAGTCCCCAGTATGAGGCATGCAGGAGGCAGTTGATCAATGATTCTCTGTCATCATTGATGTTTTTGTCTCCCTCTCCCTTCCTCTCTGAAATTCCTAATAAAAATATATTTAAAAAGAAGAAAAATGAATAAACTACGTGGTGAAGATCTAAGATCTGGCATCCTCTTCATTCTGGAATTTTAGGTACAAGGTATCCCTTCCAAAACATCCCTTACTCCATTATCATAAAGCAAAGTACCTGAAACTGATACATAGTATTCACTAAAATACTCATTGAATGAATAAGCAAGGCCTGCCAATTAACAAGACTCTGCATATATACACAAAATTTCTGATCAGCATCTCTATGCCCTCATTCTAAAATGTGAAGAAACAGCCGAAGCCGGTTTGGCTCAGTGGTAGAGTGTCAGTCTGCAGACTGAAAGGTCCCAGGTTCGATTCCGGTCAAGGGCATGTACATTGGTTGCTGGCACATTCCCGGTAGGGGGTGTGCAGGAGGCAGCTTGTCGATGTTTCTCTCTCATCGATGTTTCTAGCTCTCTATCTCTCTCCCTTCCTCTCTGTAAAAAATCAATAAAATATATTAAAATAAATAAATAAATAAATAAATAAATAAATAAATAAATAAATAAATAAAATAAAATGTGAAGAAACAATAAACATAAGAAATATGGCAGCAATAATAAAGAAGAAAACTAAAATAAGTCAGGTAATTCTAATGGGGGGAAAATTACAGGGCATTAAACAAGAAAAGGATGCTATTAACAAAAAAGTTTACAGGGGTGGAGTGGGGAGAAAGGAACACATGAAAAATAAATATTACAACTTCAAGAAAGAGCTAGGAGAAATCCCCTCAAAATATAGAGGGGGAAAAAGCTAGAAAATGAGAGAAAATACAGAAATTATTCAATATTTGAATTATAAAAGTTCCACAGAAAGTGGGGAGGGGAGGAAAATTGAGAGAATATCCAAGAAAAGAGACCTTTCCAGTGGCAAGACTAAAAAAAGACGACTTCAAATTGAACCAACCCTCCTCAGATGCCCAGTGTAAGAACTAAACAAAAGATCACTATACCTACACATATTCTTGAGCAATTTCAAAAAATCTACGGATAAAAATCCAAAAAACTTGCCAAAACCGGTTTGGCTCAGTGGATAGAGCGTCAGTCTGCGGACTGAAAGGTCCCAGGTTTGATTCCGGTCAAGGGCATGTACATTGGTTGCGGGCACATCCCCAGTACGGGGTGTGCAGGAGGCAGCTGGTCGATGTTTCTCTCTCATTGACATTTCTAGCTCTCTATCTCTCTTCCTTCCTCTCTGTGGAAAATCAATAAAATATATTTTAAAAATAAATAAAAAAATAAAAATAAAAAATAAAAAATCCAAAAGACTTATGGGACGAGTGTAATTAGAACAACTAAAAGTCTACTTCTGCCCAAAATATGTCAGATACAAAGTGGACAAAGAAGGCTAATCATAGAATGGAAGAAGACAGCTGTAGCACATCAAACTAATATTATAAGACTAATAGCCAGAATATGTGAAGAATACAGCAGTGGAATGGACTAAGAAATATGAGGTACAGGTAATTCACAGAAGAGGAAACCTAAATATCAAATAAACATTTTAAATAATGCTTAACTTCACTAGAAATCTGAAAAACACATATTAAAACAATAAGATGTCATTCTGAATACAGATTAGCCAAATTATAAGTTTCATAATACCAAATACTGAGGGAAATGAAAAAATAGCCATTCTCATATTCTGCTGGTTGAAGAGAGTGTAAACTGTATAATTTGAAAAAGCAATCGGGCAACAATTCTTAAATATGGAAATATCTCAAGGCCCAGCAATTTCACTTTAAAATGTATTCCTAGAGAAATTTTATACAAGCGTACAAGGAAATGTATACATAAAGTTCTCTGCTACATCCTTTGTTATTCTGAAAATAACCAACATATGCATCTTGAAGAGAGTAGATAGCAAATTCAAAACAAAGAAATACTATAGAGCAATTAAAATGAATTAAATAGAGCTACATGTATAAAAACATATAGAAATAAAACTACCAAATTCAGGAAAAGGAAGGAAGAATGAAGGGAGAAAGACAGTACATAAGAGTTCTAATTATATAAAAAATCCTTAAGCTGGTTGATCTAACAACTTAAATCTTTAAGTTGATTGATAAAAAAAATGTTAATATTTTCTCCACTTTTTTGTGATTAAAAGATTTTATAATAAAGAGGTTCCCTTTGGACAGAACATAGTAAAAATAATACTCAAAGGATTTATTATTGAATATCCTACCCTGAAACCAATTCTGGAGTCCTAATATTAAGAACTTACATAATTTTTCCACCCATAGATTATAATAGTGACTATTAAAAAAAAATACATACTCTGTAACTGATGTTACACTTTCCTGTCCAAAAGGTCCAACTGGATCATCCTTGAATTTATCACTTGGAAGTTGAGGTGGTAAAAACTCTACATCTTTTTTCTTTGGGACCTTGTAATACTTCCAGACTATATTAGCTTCATCTTCTTCCAAATTTACTGCTGCACCAACATACATTGTAGGTTCTACAGCTTCCTGGAATTGAGCTGGGAAAGCCTGGGATAAACTGTCTATCCTATCTTCCATTAGTTTAGAAGGAACCAAGGGATCCGGTGTTGGCATTTGATAAAAATGTTGACTTTGAGGAGTTGAAGGTGTTTTAGTCACTCCTTCATCAGCCACATCACATGGGTGGGGACTAAGTGGGGGCGGTTGAGGTGAATTTGCCATTTCAGGGCCATGCATCTGAGAAGTCTTTGCTACATCATTAGTTCGGATGTTTGAAAATCTCACTTGACTGTCTGGAGCAGATATCACAAGTCTTTGGCTGGCTGAATCTGTGTCCATGACAACATCATCACTAATAGATACCCGATGGTGAAAAGGAGTCAGGGGGCGTTTCTGTGGTTTTTCACTCTTTTCTTGCTTTTCATTGGTCTTGTGCTTGGCAAGTACTTGTTGTTGTTGACTTAAAGATAATGCCTGTCCTTGCTGTCCAGAATTTCTTAGTTTAAGATTTTTGTGCCTGAAAGAAAAGATTTAATATTTATAGTATTACATTATATCAAATATACAACTTTACACTAAACACTTCAGATATTAGTTTTTCACATATAATCCCAAAGTAAAATGATATGAAATTTACATGGGAAAAATACTTTGTCCAGTGACCTAAAACAAAGAGCATGCAGAGTAATAAAAGTCAATTCTCTCGTGCTCATTTAATAGCTATGTGACCAGAGTCAAAGATGGTTTGCCTTATGTAATCTAAATATCTTAGTATCTGAATAAACAAAGATTCTACTTATTTTAAGATATAAAAATAAAAAATGTTCTGAAATTTATTTATTTATGAATGTAGCTGATATTTCACAGTTAGCACTTATAAATTAATGGCTTAGCTGAGTTCAGTCATCCTCTACAATTCTACAGCAACTGGCTAGAAAACATATTCTACTGAATTGAAATTAGAACAGTCTGGATAGTGTTAAAATTGACTGATTTATGGGCCCCACATTACACCAACTTTCCTCCTCCGAAAGCTTACCACTACAGAAAGAATCAGCTGACTGGAAAATGAGAAAATTCCTAAAAGAAATTTTTCTTCATACCGTGAAACATTTCTAAACTGAAGGACTTAAAACTATATATCTAAAAATCTAATAATTTTGTTCACAGTTTAATATTTCTCTCAGTGTAATAAAAATACTGTGCACTTTGAGATTTCAAGGTCAACATATTGATGTATATAAAAATATTTTTTATCCCTGGCTTGTGTGGCTGTGATTAGAGCATGGACCGAAGGGTCTCAGGTCCGATTCTAATCAAGGGCATGTACCAGGTTTGAGCCCCAGCTCAAGTCAGGGCGCATGTGGGAAGCAACCAATCTATGTGTCTCTCTCACATCGATGCCTGTGTGTTTGTCTGCCTGCCTGCCTATCTCTCTCCCCTGCACCTTCCTCCCCTGCACTCTTTCTAAAAGAAAATGAATAAGTAAAATATCCTAGATGATTAACAATATTTTTTTTTTAATTAAAAAACTAATAAAATGTGGAGGAACATAGATTTTAAAGCATTCAGTATTTATTAGGTCGTTTTAGTTTGCTTTTAAAGTTTATTATATTAATCATTTTGTTGTATCAGAGATAATCAGAAAGTTATTGAAAAGCAGTGACAGGCACTTTTTTTCTTTTTAAGAACCCTCTCTATTAAGGGAATGTGCTGAGACACCCTTTCTGTAAAGCCCTCCCATGCACCTTTTTGTGAATGAGAGGAGGGAAAAACCTGAAAAGTTACCAAGGAAAAGCATAGTTATGTTAAAAGATCACAGGAGAAATACACCACTACCCTCATACCAAAATCAAAGACATTATAAAAGTAAGAAATCACAAAATAGTATCTTTCAAGAAGACAGATATGAATCATTAACAAAATATTGGCAATCATCCTATATAATAAAAGCCTACTATGTTAAGTATCTGGTCGTTCGGTTGTCCACTCAACCAATCAAAACGTAATATGCTAATGATATGCTAAGGCCATTCAACTACTCGCTATTATGTGCACTGACCATAGGAGGCAGATGCTCTGACCAGTAAGTTAGCTTGCTGCTGGGGTCCAACCAATCAGGACTGAGTGAGATGGGCCAGACAGAACCTGGAGCCCTCCCGCGATCCCTCCCCAGCTGGCCAACTTCCTGTTCCCTCTCTGGCCCCGATCATGCACTGGTGGGGTCCGTCCGTCTGGCCTGCCACCTCTCGCAATCTAGGACCCCTTGGGGAATGTCAGAGAACCAGTTTCAGCTTGATCCTGCAGGCCAGGCCGAGGGATCCCACTGGTGCACTAATTCGGGCCAAGACCTCCAGTTAATATAGAAAAGGATAACATATCATGACCAAATGGGATCTGTCCTATAAGCCTATATACCTAATAAAAGAGTAACATGTTAATTGACCATGCCTTTGTGATGCCCACCAGCCAATCAGGAGTGAGTATGCAAATTAACCAAACAACCACGATGGGTTAATTTGCATACACGGGCCCCTGGTCGCTCTGGGCCTCTGAGCAGCGTAGGAAAGCAGAAAGGCGGCTCTGGCCAGAGCAAAGGCGATGCCGACAGCCAGAGCTAGGAAGGCCCATTCTGGCACGAATCTTAGTGCATTGGGCTTCTAGTTCCTAAATAATAAAAGACTAATATGCAAATAGACCAAATGGTGGAACAATTGGCTGCTATGACATGTGCTGACCACCAGAGGGCAAGTGTAGAACATGGTGGGCATTGGCTGCGGCCAAATAGTGGAGTAGGTGAGCAGGGGTGCCAGACCAAGGCGGGAGGCGCTGGTCACTGTCTTCAGGGAAAGCCTCTTAAATAAAAAACTAGGAAAATATGGAGGAATATAGATTTTAAAGTATTCAGTATTACGGAAAAATTTTTTGTTCCGACCTGTTGTGGGCCCTGGAGCCGCTGTTCGCACCCACTGCCTGCGCTGGCTCCGCTTGCAACTGCAGCTGGTGCCAGAGCTGCCACTCGCACCCACTACCCATGCCTGACACCAGTCCCGACCACTTGGCGCCATTAGTGGGTACAAGCGATGGCTGTCAATCCTGATCACCCTTGTGGGCTTCTCCACCTCCCCCTGCTCCTGAGGGGCGATTGGAGATGCAGCCACCGCTCCCACCCACTGCTGGTGCCACTGTGTGCTGTCTGCGGATGTGAGAGGGCCGGTGCTGTCAGCACATAGAGGCAGTCAGTGGTAGTGGCAGCTGGGCTGCTGGCAAACAAGAGGATCCGGGGCTCTGGTGGGAGGGGCCAGATAGGGGTGTGGAGGATGGGCCAAGACCCACCCCTCAGCCTCATGGCCTACAGTTCCTTTCAAGATACACTAATTCATGCACTGGGTCCCAAGTGTAAAGTATAACAACTTCAAAAGATAAAAGTCAATATTATCACATTAGCAGAATAAAAGAGAAAATCATATAATTATTTCAATACACATAGAAAAACATAGGACAAAATTCAACACATATTTGTCTAAAAAAAAAAAAAAGATTGAGCAAGCAAGGAATATAACAATCTGATCAAGGACATCTATGAGAAAAGCTACATCTAATTTCATTCTTTTATTTCTCCATAAGACTGGGAACAAAACAAGAATATTAACTTTTTTTTAATCCTCACCCATCATATGTTTATTGATTTGAGACAAAGAGGAAGGAGGGGGAGAAATAAAGAACAGAGAGAAACATCAATCGGTTGCCTCCCATACTTACTCTGAATGGGGTTTGAACCTGCAACCTAGGTATGTGCCCTGACCTGTAATTGAACCCCCAACCTTTTGGCGTACAGGAAAATGCTCCAACTAATTGAGCCAGGACAAGAATATTAATTCTTAACATTTCTCCTCAAAAATATATTGAAAGTTTCGGCCAATACAATAAGTCAAGAAAAAGATTAGAGATTTCAAAGGAAGAAAAACTGTCTTTATTCATAGTAAACATGATTAGAAATTTTACAATGAGGGGTCAGGCTGACCACCACCTTCTCAGGGAGAGAAAGAGAGAACCATCTATGTATCTCTCTCACATAGACCAGCTGCCTCCGGCAAGCACCCCAACCAGGGTTAAGATCTAACCTGAAATCCAAGTATGTGCCCTTGACCAGGAATCAAACCCATGACCCTTTAGTGTATGACTGAGGCTCTAACCTCTGAGCCACACAAGCCAGGACCACGTTCTCAATCTTAACATTAAAAGTGGGACAACCAGACATGTGTCTCTTCTGATGTGACACAATACAAAATAACACAGCACCATCTATTAAGTATTCTCACCAAAAATAACAAACCTAAATCTCTAATCAAGACTCTAGATCAAGCATGGTCCAACAGAACTTTCTGTGATGATGGAAATGCTTTGTATGTGGCTATTGAGAACTTGAAATGTGACTAGTGCAATTGAGGGACTGAATTTTTAATTTTTAAATCTAATCACTTTAAATTTAAATAGCCACAAGTGGTTACTAATATAGCTACTAGCATTGAATAGCACAGCTCTAGAGCTATCTTCCATTTACAGAAATACAAGGAATAAATAAAGTTAAATGACACTAAAAGAACAAGTTAAAACACATGGTAAGTTAAAAAACTCAGAATGTGGGATAGACTACATATAGGACAACTAACAGTTTCTCCAACTAAGTCAATCCCATAAAAAGGAGGTAGGAAATGACAAGAGAGACCTAGAAGATATTTACAACCAAATACATACTCCTCATTTGGATCCTAGTCAAATAAACCAAGAAGTCATTTCTGAAAAAATTTGTAGAGAGTAGCAAGCACATCATGGCAAGAAAATAAGAGTTCCTCCTTTTATTAGATGTAATAATGGAACTATACTTATACGAGAAAATGTTAACATTTTCAGAGTTGCATACTGAAGTAGGAATGAAATGACAACATTTAAGATTTGCTTTAAATTTCGGCTGGCGTGGCTCAGTGGTTGAGTGTCAACCTATGATCCAGGAAATCAGGGTTCAATTCCCGGCCAAGGGACATGCCCAGCTTACAGGCTCAATAACCAGGGTGGGGCATGTAGGAGGTGGCCAATCAATTATTCTCTCTCATCATTGATGTTTCTATCTTTCTTTCACTTTCCCTTCCTCTATGAAATCGATAAAAATACATATTTTTTTTAAAAAGTAGTCATTCATCCACTTGCCCTTTTATAAGGGTAAGAAACTATTAATTCAGACTATATACTAAACCCTTTACATTCTTTTTTCCTGTTGATTAAGTCCTTGCATTTTATTTACTGCTAACACTTGAAATTTATTGTCCTGCTTTCTATTAATATAGCCTTCTAAGTGCTAATTTTCTTATGAACATTCCACTGGACTAAAGCCTAATATCAAGTAATGTGCATTACTAAATCCCACTAATAAGTGAAAAATACCAATTAAAACAATTTTATGCTTTTCACTTACTACAGTGGCAAAAAAAATAAAGGACAGCTCTCAGAACAGTGAAAACGTAAGAAAAAACAGCATTCTTATATGCAATAAAATTGATAAAATTTTGGAAGTCACAAGAAGTGTTTAACACACTTGCCCATAACTATCACATCACCCACCTACTTTTATTTCCTTCCTAGCACTCATCATTCTTAAAATTTTAAAGGATTAAGAATTCCTTTAAATCAAATTATCTGCCCCATTCCTTATAGTGCAGGTTTCAAAATAGTGAAAGCCTTGTTTATGGAATGTATATCCTGAGCTTTGGACATCTCCTATCACAGAATAAGTGTTCAAAGAAAGCCTAATAAATAACTGATGGTCACCAAAGTATATATATTTTTATTTATTTATTTTTTTTATTAAATATATTTTATTGATATTTTACAGAGAGGAAGGGAGAGAGATAGAGAGCCAGAAACGTCTAGAGAGAAACATCGGCCAGCTGCCTCTTGCACACCCCCTACCGGGGATGTGCCCGCAACCAAGGTAAATGCCCTTGACCGGAATCTAATCCGGGACCTTTCAGTCCCCAAACCGATGCTCTACCACTGAGCCAAACCGGTTTCAGCAAAGTATATATATTTTTAAAGTAAAAACAATCAAAAGCCTTTGTAAACAACCTATGTATCCATCAAACCCAAATGATTAAATACACTATGGTACTTCGATTCCGTAGAATACCAAAAAGCTTTTTAAATTAATAAGGCAGATCTACAAATAACTAAAATGGAAAGAGCCAAGACACCTTAAGTGAAAAAAAAAAAAAAAAAAAAAAAAAGATGCCAACACACAGTATTATATTTGTGTTGGGTGAAAAAACACATATACACACAATTACAGAAAAGTATGGAAGAATAATGCCTAATTGGCAAATAGTCACTTCTAGAAAAAGGCAGTAAAATTTGGAAAGAGAGAGTGGAATCAGGGGAACTTTAGCTTTATTTGTATGATTTAAATTCCTTAAAATTACATATACTTATGCAAGTTGCTATATAACTATGCAATTTTTTCAAATAGATTTCTAAGAGAAGCCAACGTATTAGTCGGGGTCCAGTCCTATCTTTCATACAGAGGAAATTTACTATAGAGAATTAGTTACAAAAAGAGAGAGGGGAGGGGGGAGAAAAGGAAAGAGGGGAAGAAAGAGAGAGAGAAGTGAGGCAACCTATAGACTAGTAACAACCAGGAGCTTCTGTTGTTATCTTCTAGGACTGAAGATAAAGTAGCCTCATTATATCACAGAAGTTTAATATGATACTAGAACCACAGCATGCCAACTCAGTGGTAACTGGGATCTTGTAAAGAAGGGACTGTTGTTAGAGGGACACAAAGCTGCTAATGGAGTTGGCTCAAAACGGGCTGGGGAAACATCTTAGTTTTTTCCCACTTTGATCAACGAATCTTCTGTTAGTGCCTCCCATTAGCCAAATTCAGAAAGCAAATGAGCCTAATCAAATTATCATGTTGTATACCTTAAATGTATACAATGTTATCAATTATATCTCAATAAAGCTGGAAAAAAATACATGTAAAAGGCAAGGGAGCCAGGAAATGTAATTATCTTCAATATAGCTAAGAGAGACATAGGAAAGATTTGAAAGCCAATAGTTTGATTAGAATAGTCAGTTATCAATGTGTGTGCCCTACTGCCTATATTACATGGCAGAAGAGAACACACACATAGGGTGGCTCAAGTCTTTTTAAGTCTTATTTAAAAACTACGTAAGAAAACCATATTTGAAGGGAGTAAAGGAAAAACCTATAGTACAAAACTCAATAGCGGAAAAAGGTAAATGATCAGAACACTATATATTCTAGAGGGATCAATTTACCAAAACAAGTCACCTATAAAAGTTATACAAATTTCATTATATCCAATTTTTATATGTCTTGGAAAATTTTCTGAAAATATGAGAGATAGCAAAAGTTTTTAAATATAAAAGGTTCAGCTTAGAGACCAAGAATTTAAACTCAAACTTATGTTTATGAACATGCATTTTGAATGTCTTCCTCCAAGACCATTTTAGACAAATATACTTAAAACCCTCATCTTTAAAAAAAAAAAAAAAGGATAAAGCACCAGTTCTAGGTGAGAAACTAAAAAAGTGCTGCTTAATAAAAATGCCTATAAATACAAGAAAAGAAAAGACTAATTTCATTTAAGCATTATATTAGTCTTAGATCAGGAGTTGGCCAACTTATTCTAAAAAGGACCAGATGGTAAATATTTTAGGTTCGGGGGATGGGGGGGACATACAGTCTGTATTGCAATTACTCAACTCTGTGAAAGCAGTCAGTTAATATGTAAATGAACGGATGTGGTTCTGTTCCAATAAATCCTTATTTATGAACACTAAAATGTAAATTTTGCATAATTTTCACGTTACAAAATATTCTCCTTCAAATTTTATTCAACTATTTAAAAATGTAAAAGTAATTTTCAGCTCACAGGCCATACCAAAGCAGGCAGACAAATAATGTCATGGAGCCTTGCATTTCAAGACTAGGTTTGTTTCCCCTTAGATGGGTGTGGTTTTTAACTCTCTTAAACAGTTGAAAAGAAGCTAATGGATTCATATTTTTATTCCAATCTCTCTATCAACAACAGAGGCAAGTTTTCAAAAAAGTTGCCAGACTTTAAAAAATTATACAGTTTCTAATCCCAAGAATCAATGTAAGAACATTTAATCTATGGAAAAACATACCAGAATACTTGTCTGTTCAATGTATTCAATCAAACAGAACTAATGTAAGAAAAATCTTGGCCCTAACCTGCAGGCAAGGAACTCCAATTCCTTTGGCTCATATCCATGACAGAAAGGGTGGCCAACTAACTATTTGCTCACAAGTCCTGATTAGGGGTGTTAATACCATTATTTGATTACTTGCTTGCAAAAGCATATGATCTACCTTTAATTGTAGAATAAAATAAACTTCAGGCAAAATAATCTTTTACTAAAAATAGATTTGAAAGAGAGAGGAAAGGCGAGGGAGAGAAGGAAATAACGATTGGTTTCCTTCCATGGGCACCCCAACCAGAAACCGAACCAGTGACCTGTCGGTGCAAGAGGCAACACTCAACCAACTGAGCCACAATGGCCAGGGCTAGGTAATATGATGTTAATGCCTCTACTAACCTAATTTCATCAATGCCCCAATATGTAAAATAAATACAACTGCTTAAAGAATTTCAAGTCATACATTCTTTTACCAGTCTTCCAACCAATACAGTCTATTCCTAAGTTTGTATTTTTACGGTACAGTTTTGATCCCAGGCTGAAACATACTTTGTGAATCTTATTTCAGCATTTCTCCTACAGTTTGCCCAACGGGATATTATAAGAAAATGCACAAACCCCATACTGTATGTACTATAAAACAGGGTGTGGATATTTGTACCTAGTATGTATAATATCATCATTTTTAAGAGAACCCTTGGGAGATATTTCTCAGGCACAATGCCACCTATGAACACTTCTCAAGAGATGTGTGTGACTTTTACCTTATAGATGTTATATATACTATAATAAAGTATAAAAATTCTCCTTTATTGTCTATGAAACCAAGCTTTCATAGCCCAGCCCAGGTAACTGTATTAAGAACTTAAGGCATACATTTATATGTACTTTCAAAAATGCTCCAAAATACTGAACATTTTTCCTCAAATGTTTTCTTTTAAAAAATATCCTAACACACTGTATTTATATAAGCTTCCTCAAACAAAGTGGGACATACATATTCAACAGCATACAAAATACCACACACACACACACATACTCTCTCTCTCTCTCTCTCTCTCTCTCTCTCTCTCTCTCTCTCTCTCTCTCTCAAACACGTATAGATATTTATCGACTAAAACAAACAAAAAAATCTACCTCGAACAGCAGCAATTTGTTCTTTGTGTGGCTTCAACAAAATCCCAGGATGTTACTTTATCAGCTGTGTCTTCTTCACACAGACCAGCTGATGAAGCTGAATACTTCCTCCTAAGATTTGAAATTATAGAATCATTTAGAATTCATCAATTTCTCTATAACTCTGAATTAAGCATTAAAATTGAAATCTTTTTAAAATCAAAATTTTTCCCAGCCAGTGTGGCTCAGCAATTGAGTGACAACCCACCCACAATGCAAGAGAGGTTACCAGTTCAATTCCCAGTCAGGGCACATGCCTGGGTTTCAGGCTGGATCCCTAGTGTGGGGCATGCAGGAGGCAGTCGGTCAATGATTCTCTCTCTCATCATTGATGTTTCTATTTCTCTCTACCTCTCAATTCCTCTCTGAAATCAATAAAAAATATTTATTTTTTCAAATATCAATTTTTTAAATTAAGGAAGTCACACAAATGACTTTATATTATCTACAAGTAACTACTAATATGTAATTTTTAAACTTGAAAATGAAAATACGTACTTGTTCTGAGCTCTGTTCATATTGCATTCTTGCCAAACTCTATCCACCACATGATTGGCTAATTTTCTGGGTATTTTCCCACCATGATGGCTAGTACTATCCGAGTTGAAGCCATCAGATACTGAGGGAAATTTGACCCACTTCTGGGCAGACTGAGGATCAACTGAAAACAAACAAAAAAGAGTAAGATGTAGGAGAATAAAGGTAGGTTTACAGTAATACTGTTTAGGGTTTTTAAAATTAATTAGTGTTAATAAATTGCTCCAGGCTTCTTGACTAGCTTCATTACATTTTGAGGCAAAAAAAGTATGTTCCTTCACTTAACATACAAAAAGCAAAAAATCTAGACAGGAGTTATGAATTGGATGGTAGTGCTGTATAATGATTTCCTGACTTGGAGGATTAAATTGTAGATATATATTTGGGAAAATATACTGAGTAAGTAAGGAGATGGAGCATCATGCCTGCAGCTTGCTCTCAAATAGTTAAAAAGACCAATGATGATTAATGTATACATACAGAGAAGTGCTGAAGCAAATATTAACAGTTTGGAAATTTGGATGCAAACTCTTCCATAAGTTTTAAATTATCATATATATAATAATATGATATATGATAATTTAAAACTTATTGAAGATATATATATATGATATATATCTCCTATCTAATAAAAGGGCAATATATATGATAATTTAAAACTTATTGAAGTTTTATATATATATATATATATATATATATATATATATATATATATATCCTATCTAATAAAATGAAAATTAATCATCACTCCAAAACACAAGATGGCTTCCCCCATGTGGTCAAAGATGGCCTCCTTATGGCCAGCAGAGGAGAGCAGTTGGGGGAGGGACCAGGCCTGCAGCAAAGGGCAATTGGGGGTGATCAGACCAGGAGGGGAGGGCAGTTGGGGGTGACCAGGCCATCAGGGGAGGGCAGTTGGGAGGGACCACACTGCAGGGGAGGGCATTTGGGGGGGTGACCAGGCCTGAAGAAGAGGATTGTTGGGGGTGGATCAGGCCTGCAGGGGAGGGCAGTTGAGGTTGACCAGTCCAGCAGGGGAGATCAGTTAGGGGTGACCAGGCCTACAGGGGAGGGTAGTTAGGGGTATCAGGACTGAAGGGGAGGATAGCTGGGGGTGACCAGGCCTGCAGGCGAGGGCAATTAGGGGTGACCAGACTGGCAAGGGAAGGCCTAAATGGGCAGTTGGACATCCCTTGAGGGATCCCAAGTTGGAGAGGGTGCACGCTGGGCTGAGGGACATATACACCATCCCCACCAGTACACAAATTTCGTGTACTGGGCCTCTAGTTTTAAAATAATAATTTAATCAAATGTTTACTGTCTTCAAAATAAGAAAATCACTAGAGTTAACAAAACAAATTAGGACAATACCTGTCTGGACTTCCTCAGGAGATGTAGGTGGTGTAAGAGTAACCGAAGACATTGCAGGATCTCTTGTGGAAGCAGGCACTTGGTGGACACCCATGCAAGAAGTTGAACAGTGAGAGGATCCCACTGAGCTTGGAGCAGGAATGTCTGACTGAGGAACTAAAACAAAACATGCTGGGTAGATCATTCGGACACCCGCTGAAAGGAAAAAAGACAGGAAAGTCAATTACTTTTGTGACTGTAATGAAATTAGTTTCACTCAAAAACAATGTAATGGAACAGTAGGTATAACATAATCATATTTAAGTAATAATATATTTAACTTATGTTTATAAATATATGCTTTTTGGCATAAGGTATTTCTGGAAGAAACCACAAGAAGCTATTAATAGTGGTAATCTTCAAAGACTGAAAAGAAAGCACCTTTCTCTTTTCATTTTAATTTTGTTGTTGTTGTTAATCCTCACCTGAGGACATTTTTCCATTGCTTTTCAAAGTCAAAGAGAGGGAGGTAGGGAAGAGAAAACGGAAGAGGGGAGAGAGAGAAATATCAATGTTAGAGCAACTGCCTCCAGCACACGCCCTGACAGGGTCCAGGAACAGACCCAAAACCCAGATACAAGCCCTTGACCAGGAATTGAACCCACGGCCCTTTAATACACAGGCCAGTGCTTTAGTACAGCAACCAGGGCTTTCTTTTCATTTTTGAATTTTTTAACTATGAATGTGTATTACTTACTCTTTTTTTTCCATTTACATATAGCACTTTTATTGAATTTATTGGGGTGACACTGGTTAACAAAATAATTCAGATTTCAGCCGGGACCGGTTTGGCTCAATGGATAGAGCGTTGGCTTGGGGACTGAAGGGCCCCGGGTTCGATTCCGGTCAAGGGCATGTACCTTGGTTGCAGGCATATCCCCAGTAGGGGGTGTGCAAGAGGCAGCTGATCGATGACTCTCATCGATGTTTCTAACTCTCTATCTCTCTCCCTTCCTCTGTACAAAAATCAATAAAATATATTTTAAAAAATAATAATTCAGATTTCAGGTATATAATTCTATAATACATCATCTGTATATTACATTGGTGTATTACTTTCTTACTTTAAATCCTTATTTTCAAATGTGACCAACTACAAGGTGGATTAAAATTTATTTTAAAAATTTAACAAAGGTAAGCTCCTCCCTGATCCAGACCCTGATTGTGGCTTGTATAAGAGGCAACCAATCTATGTGTTTCTCTCACATCGATGTTTCTCTCTCTCTTTCCCTCCCTAAAAACCAACAGAAAAATATCCTCGAGTGAGGATTAACAACAGCAGCAAAAATGGTAAGTTTAACAAAGGTAATCTGATCACTAGAATTATGGAACATTTTTGGTTTTCTTATTTTTATGTCTCTATTTAAAAAGCCTAATATATGTTTTGTTTTGCTTCTGTTTTGGGCACAACTACTCTGATAGTAATGTACTTATTGAAGTTGGATGTTGATAGTTTTTTATTTAAAAGAGAAAACAACAAAAAAACAATGGTCTGGCCAGGTAGCTCAGTTGGTTAGAGCATCATCGTCACAAAGATGTGGGTTCGATTCCTAGTCAGGACACATACAAGAAGCAACCAATGAATGCATAAAGTAGAACAACAATCTCTCTCTCAAATAAATTTTATAAATAAGGCAATTTTTATATATAACATTACCATATGATTCCTTCACACACAATACTGCAGATTCTAATCCCAATTACCTTCTCAATTATACATTCCCCACACCTCCTCTGTCTAAGGTGGAGTATACATCTTTATCTCATTGTTAGGCTCGGTTTTGTAATTTGCTCTGGAATGTAAATGCAAGTGATATGTCACATCCCAACAGGAGCTTTCATTTAAATGTGCTTGTAGGATCAGTGCAGCCTCTCTTATTTCTATCCTCTACCTTGAGATTAACTTTTCCAAATACAGTTTACCTTGTTAACATAGGTCCTTGATGAGAGGACATATAGAATACAGTCAATCAAAATAGAGATGACCTGACTAGAACAGATGAAAGATCCAAGTATTTTAGGTACATATTATATTCCGCCTTTTAAATTATCAGAGGTGACAGTTTTACCAAATTTTAAAATATTGAGTAACACAGGTTGTCAACTTTCAGCCTCCAAATATTATTCATTCACAATTATTTTCTTTCCACCTTTAGCATGCTATCCTTTAGGTAGAATGTATTTCCCTGACCAAATGACTTTGGGTTGGCCAAATAACTAATTTTGTGTACTGGACTGTGAGCAGATGTATCCTAGTAGAAGCTTTAAATACACTTACTAGTACATAGCTAGACTCGGTCCTTATTATTCTTTTGTTCGTGTAAGAACAGCATGTCCTAAATACCGGGTACTCCTTGAACTTAGATTGCAGAATAAGATACAAGGAGCCAAACCATGACAAAGCTGGAGCCTTTACATAACATGAGCAGGAGTAAGAAAAAAATAAAATGTTTGGTGTTGAAAGCCACTAAGGTATTGCATTTGTTTAACTAACACATACAGTCACATATTTTTCCCTTAGGATTAACGCTCAGGATCCGTACCAACAAGAACTTCTACTGCAGCTAAAGAATCATCTTCCCAATCCATATCTTCCTGTTTATCTTCAGACATCTCCTTCAAGCAAGATGAGATAGGATAGAATTGTTTCCATTCACCAATTAACTTTTTTGTAGCTGAATCAGACATCTTGAATGCCTGTCCTGTGAGAGTGCCATTTAGTCCAAATGGGCTTAAGATAACTAGAAATCCAAAATGGAATACAATAAGTAACTAAAAACTATTATATCAAATATGATCACACTAAACAATATTGTTAGTAATTATGCAATTCTTTAAAAGTTAGAGAAAAGCCATAATGTCATTCCTGAGAAAAACCAATGTATTGTACTTCATAATTATGAAGAGAAGTACAACACTGAGCTTATTATAAAAACTTAAAACTTTTGTCTACCCAAAAATTTCAGATGTACAACTTTTCACAATGAACTGGGAATATTTGAATTCAATTTATCCTGATTTCTACTAAGGAAAAGTAATTCGAGAAAAAATAGTATGTATATATATAAATCTAAGTACTTATTATGTAATGCCATGTACATTTTTAAAAAAGCAAATACTAGGCTTAGAATTAAAAGAACAACATACTGACATCCTTAAAAACAATTCAGCAATCTTATAAAGTATTCTTCTAAAAATTATACCAAAATCCGCCGAAACCGGTTTGGCTCAATGGATAGAGCGTCGGCTTGGGGACTGAGAGGTCCCGGGTTTGATTCCGGTCAAGGGCATGTACCTTGGTTGCGGGCATATCCCCGATAGGGGGTGTGCAAGAGGCAGCTGATCGATGACTCTCTCTCATCAATGTTTCTAGCTCTCTATCTCTCTCCCTTCCTCTCTGTACAAAATCAATAAAAATATATTTTTAAAAATTATACCAAAATCCATGTTAAATGTCTAAAATGACTTACAAGAACTGTCATGCAAGATGGCTAAGAAAACATAAACCCATATATCTGCTTCTTTCTATTTAAAAAAACACTTTAAAATATCCTGCCAATCAAGTACAAAAATTTTAAAAATAATATTGATATTAAAAAATTTATTTTATTGGCCGAAACCGGTTTGGCTCAATGGATAGAGTGTCGGCTTGGGGACTGAAAGGTCCTCGGTTCGATTCCGGTCAAGGGCATGTACCTTGGTTGCGGGCATATCCCCAGTAGGGGGTGTGCAAGAGGCAGCTGGTCAATGACTCTCTCTCATTGACGTTTCTAACTCTCTATCTCTCTCTCTTCCTCTCTGTACAAAATCAATAAAATATATTTTTAAAAATTTATTTTATTGGCTTAATACTCTAATAGGTAAGAAAAAAGTAAACTACATCAGAATCATCATTAGGCCAAATCTCATTAATCCCAAAATGTCAAATTACCAACTTCAATAAGCATTTTCTTGAAACAACAATAAAAATCAAATATGTAAGCCATCAAATCAAAATAATCTACCTTGAAATGGGCTATTAGACTGCTGAGCAAGGGTGATATGCTCTTCACTAAGAAGGTACACAGGTTGATGTTGGTTAATTTCCACACTGGTACAAACATTGCTATCTCCATGCAAGAAAAAGGTGAAAGAGCAGGACAAGTGTTCACTAATAAAGAAAAAAAAGTTATATTTTAGTGATAACATGCCAAAAAAAAAAAGAAACTTGCTTTTCTTAATTATGAAGTTATATCACAACAATACATATTATCTTTATCCCAGAAATTCTACTGCATCATCTAAAGGGGGAAAAAATAACAAATCTGAACAAAGATTTAGCTACAAGAAATGTTCTTCATTGTTTATAGTAAAAAACCTGCAAATAGAGGAATCAAATAAGTTAGGTGTATACACATACACACACACACACACACACACACACACGCAAAATATAGCTGCAAAAGTAAGTAAAGGTGGGGAGTAGGTTTAATGGAAAGGGTAAGCTGCCAAAACAGTATAGTCTCAATTTTTCAAAAAAGGAAAAAAAAGCCTGGCTGACATGGCTTAAGGGTTGAGTGTTGACCTATGAAACCAGGAGGTCACCGGTTCGATTCCATCAAGGGTACATGCCTGGGATTGTGGGCTCTATCCCCAGTAGGGGATGAGCAGGAGGCAGTCAATCCATGATTCTCTCTCATCACTGGTGTTTCTCTCTCTCTCTCTCTCTCTCTCTTTCTCTCTCTCTCTCTCTCTCTCCCTCCCTCCCTCCCTCCCCCTTCCTCTCTGAAATCAATAGAAACATATTTATAAACAAAACAAAAACAAAAAAAAGGAGTATCTTTGATGAAAAAATTCTAGGTGTACAACAGATTTAAGGATGACCTAATTTTTATTTTTATTCATTTCCCCTCTATATAAAAAATACATTTCTTCATTTTATTATTCCTGAAATTGCACTGCATGTGATCAGTCAAGCATTAAATGTACTGTCCTTCCCCCATCCCCAATGAAGTTATTTATTTATTTATTTATTTATTTATTTATTTATTTATTTATTTTCATTAACTAAAGATCATACTTTATTCGGACACCAATGAAGTTATTTTAAAGCAATGATGGGTCTTACAATTGAAGGCATCCTAGAATCAAAGTTACATGCAAAACAAAACACCTTATGAAATTTAGATGTGGCCTGGTATACAGGTCAGAAAATAAAACCTTAAGATAAAAATTAGAAAGGGTAAGTGGCCCAGAGAGAATTTTGTACACTAAGAAGAATCTATTTCTCTTATTTCTTCACTACACATTTGTCTTAATATGACTTAATCAGTTCTTTAAAATATAACAGTAAGCTCATAATCTGTTGAATTTATCTATAAGCCCTCTTAACTTATTTCTGGACAAGGCAAGGGCACAATAAATTAAAATTAAATTATAGAAAAAGTAATATTATAGCTAGCAGAAGTGGGAAAACAGAAGGTAGGAAAGAGTTGAGGAGTAATGGAGAGCTGAGAATATCATCATCGAATATATTCAGGTTGGGCAAAAGTAGGTTAGAGTTGTTCATATGGAAAATAGAATAAAATAATAATACAAAAATAACCTCCTCTGCATATTAACTGTAAACTTACTTTTGCCCCATTTTGAATTAGGGAGTCAACAGGTAATGACTAAAGTTGATAGAACAAGAAACTAAATTTTAAGCTTATCATTCAAGGTCAAAAGAAAAACTGAAAATAATATAGCTGAAAACAATGTAACTAAAAAAAAAAAAAAACCTTATCTTTCATGGCAAAGAATCAGTAGAGTTGTGTCTAAAGTTGATTAATTAAGGCCTATAAGTAAAGCAGAAGCTTGAAATGAGTTTATGCAATCTGGCTTGCCCTCCAATGCCTCTTTCATCACCATAAGAACATGTCCTGGTTGACTTGCTGTTCTAAGATGGAAATACCTCTTACCCAGCCTATAGTTTACTGTGTGGACTAGACTAGTCTCCATTTGGCCTGCAGATACATTAATAATACATAACTGATGTTTTAAGCCCTTATGTTTTGGGGAGTGGTTTCTTACACAGAAATAGCTTGTACAAAAATTGGCACCAAAGGTGAGATGCTACCATGACAAAAGCCTAAATATATGTGGCACTGGCTTCAGGATCAGATGATTGGTAACAAGACACTAAAAAATGGTGAGAAAATTATTATGTAGAGGTTTGGGGAAATGGTGGACATATTTTATACAATCTAAAAATACTTCATAGCACTGTTGCTTAAAATAATCTGGACAGCAAAAGACGTGCCTAATGAACTTACAAAGTTGGGGGAACAGATAAAGTAAAAATGTAATTTGGTTGTCAGCAGCTATCTAGCTATCCAGTAGGTCCCAGGTTACACTGGAGATCCATTCCTATGGCACAACGTAAAGCGATTTTTGCCATAAGCTGGAATCCACCTACCTAAGCACTCACATGGAGCACATACACAGCAGTAAGGAAGTGAAATAGTAAAAAAAAAAAAAAAAAAAAAAAAAAAAAAAAAAAAAGCAAAAGAAAGATACCCTATTTCTCTGAAAATAAGACAGTGTCTTAATTTTTTCTCCCAAAGTTGCACTAGGTCTTATTTTCAAGGGATGTCTTATCTTTCCATGCACTAGGTCTTATTTTCGGAGGATGTCTTATTTTCGGGGAAACATGGTAACAATTACTGACCTTTACTTATGGTAAATAAATAATAAAAAACATAAAGCACATATGTATATATGTCCAAATAATGGAAATTTTTTAATATAAATAAATGGGAGATGGCGACATAACCATGAAACCATGTATGTTGAGTCTGATGTAACCCAATGAATGTCTTCTCTATATATAAAAGCTTAAGCAACCAAATGAGCGGTCACTATGATGCACACTGACCACCAGGGGGCAGATGCTCAATACAGGAGCTGCCCCTGGTGGTTATTGGGCTCCTAGTGCGGCATCCAGCCCAAGCTTGGACTCCTCCCTGGCTGTCTGCTGCTATGTGCACTGCTACATCCATCAAGGGGTCCCAGATTGCAAGAGGGCATAGGCCAGGGTGAGGGGCCTCTAGTACTTGATAAAGTACTTAAAGAAAAGAGATGGACTCAGAAAAGAACTTGCTGGTTTCAACATAATTTAGAAAGAATAGAGACAGCCCAGAAACTACAGGGCTAGAAAATAAACTCTTTCTGAATAAAGTAATGGTGTGCCCTATATTGTAACACAGCCTTGAGGAAAAGACCAAATCAAGAATGTGTTAATATAAACATGAGCCCAGCTGGCATGGCTCAGTGGTTGAGCATTGACCTATGAACCAGATCATAATTCGATTCCTGGTTGGGGCACATGCCCAGGTTGTGGTCTCAATACACAGTGTGGGGCATGCAGGAGGCAAACAATCAATGATTCTCTCTTATCACTGATGTTTCTCTCTCTCTCTCTCTCCTCTTACTTCTTCTTCTGACACAATTTTTCATAATTAGGTTGAGTTATAGAGCATATAAATATACAACATAATTTCTAAGTAGCATTATCATCTTAGTAAACCATTTATGTTTCATTTCTGAGAGTGATATGTCCATTATATGTATTGAAACAAAACAGGCAGAAATCAATTTTCAAGGCATTTTTCTCTCTAAACAATAAAAAAGGACATGAGAATTTAAAAGCAAAACATAAATGTTTTAAAAATAAGAAAAGTTCATATTCTACTGGTTAGAATGACTAGAATACATTTTTTAACAGTATAAGATTTTTACAGGTTTTTCAGGAAACCTTACAAAGCAAACATTTCTTAGTAGAGGAAGTAAAATTTTAAGTGTTATAAGGGGGAATTGCTAACTGAAACTACTTTGTCAAGAAAAACATTTATTAAGTAAGTGACTCAAGCAAGAATAATATAGTAGGTAGAGAAATTATAATTTGAGCCGAAACCAGTTTGGCTCAGTGGTAGAGCGTCGGCCTGCAGACTGAAAGGTCCCAGGTTCGATTCTGGTCAAGGGCATGTACCTTGGTTGCGGGCACATCCCCAGTAGGGGGTGTGCAAGAGGCAACTGATTGATGATTCTTTCTCACTGATGTTTCTAACTCTCTATCCCTCTCTCTTCCTCTCTGTAAAAAAATCAATAAAATATATATTTTTTTAAAAGAAATTATAATTTGATTAGTTTTAGGAATCAAGTAAGTATGCTATACAAATGATTATGAATGCTGTGTGCTTTCTCAGTAACTGAGTAGCAGATTTTAAAATCTGAATTGCAAATACTTCCAACAACATTTGCAAGTATAAGCAACAACCTAAAATAGTCTGATGTTCTTTATCTTTAAAAGACAAAGAGGATAGAGACCTGAATTTTATATCTTCATATTTACTGCTCTGTTAATTAATGAAGTATAGTTCTTAAAAATATAGCTTTCAACTATGTTTCATTTCGTACATAAAATATTAAATGAGAATAAAAATAGATATTCAAAATGGATTTTCGCCATGACATAAAAAACAAATAATCTGACTAAAATTTTTCCTAAACAGATTACTGTAATCTAGTAAATGTTAAAAAACAGTGCATTACTTAATAAATATTAGAAATTAAATGTAATCATATATACAAAAATCGTGGCCCATAAAAATGAAAGCCAAATATAGCCTTTCTGTATGTCCAGTGAGCACATGACAATCTTAACAACTTTCAAATCAGAAAAGAAAATTTGGCTCTTTGATGTAAAATGATCCATTTGTCTCCAAAGGGTCTTGATAAAAACATAATATTCCAATATGCAAAACATGATCAATTTCTCAGCTCTATTTATCTGTACTGCCCTATACTCACCGGCAGTTCTCAATTGTTGTCTATGATTAAGTAGAACATCTCCTCCTATGTAGTGCTAGGATGGTCTCAAAACATAGGTTTACAGTTGTAAGTGCAAGAAACAGTTTTTCTTGTATTACATACTAATTACTGTACTGTTTTCCATACAAACAACTGTAAACCCATTTTTGCCCACCTTTGTAGTCTTATCTATTTATAAAATGGTTTGAAATAAACCAAGTTTGTGCATGACCTAGGAGAAAAAATTATACATTCTAAATATGAAATAAAATTTCTAGAATTCTTATATCAAAGGCAATATTCTAGTCAGAAAATATAGGG